TGGACTTGACCAGACTATCAAATTTTTTTTTTTTAAATGCCTAAATATTGTCTGATGACATCACATCATGATCATATAGGCACATCATGTATATATATATTTACATACTATATATTTTTTTTGTCAACAAAATTGATAACATGGACAGAGCTAAACATTTCTTTGGTTCGTTGCTGTACGATCATCATTGATTAAATTTTGTATGGATTATCATGATCCTTGTTCAAGCAACACGCATTAACTCCAATCAGATACTGCTCCTCTTTACATTTTTATCTCTTTCCCGACTTCAAATTAACATAAGCTGTTTCTTCTTCTCTATATTGTAGATCTTGGTAAGTCTGGTTTTCATTGCCAGCAGTTGGCCTATCTGCCGTGAAGTCCATGTAAGTCTGTGTCGAGATATGGAATGCAATATATCAATGTAATTTATCGTTTGTAACTTGTTGCTTAATTGAAATGGATTTATACGGTTTTATACATTCTTAAAAACACATTCTCACTGGCGCTCATCCATAGTGATAACTAAGCAACAAGCGAGGACATGATAGAACACAATCAAGTGTGTGAGTGAGTTTCGAAAAATACAGTATATAAAATTCGGGAGGTTTATTGATTCTTTTAGAGGGCATATTCCCAAAGATTTAAATATTGGAGTAGGCCTACGTTTTACAAGTATACAAACACTTTTAATAATCTGTAGAATATCAACTGTCAGTCGGCATATTGTATGTTTTTTCATTGATATCAGACTTTGTTTGGCCTAAAAACCGAAGCGGTTGCATACCATTGTTAGGCCTGAATATGGAAAGAATCAGTGTTATCAACGATGTGGATAGGGACATGGTACCGGAACCATTGTCGTTTGACCAACGTATTATAATTTATGGGTAAGTCTAGGAAGGCGTTATCAATAGAATATATTATTAACCTCAATCTTTTGAAAAATGAAACACATAATTAGGCCTACAGATACCATGGCTTTTTGCACGTGGCATAAAGTGGATTGGTAACACATATCAGAGGTGAATTAAAATAAAAACTTACATCTTGTTTACTCTTGTCCGTACTTCTCTTGTCTATTTTTGTCTTCTAAATTGTAATTTAAAAAAAATATTAATACAATTTGCAGTCATAATTCTTTCTGTCGTTCTGTTTAGGCCTATTTGTTTTATTTAAATTTTACAATTAATTTATATGTTAATTTATTAATTAAAGTTTAACAATGGAAAGCCTGCCAATTAAGCCTACAGAATGGAGATTGAAACCACATGATAAAACACAAGAAAATAAAAAAATTTGTTTCATTTTGTGTAATACTTTTCTGGGGCGGATGCAGGATTTGGCGGTAGGGGGTGAGTGAGTGTCCAGACCACCTCAGCCCTAACATGGTTTGGGCTGAGGCGGGAAAATTTGCAGAATAGGTGCCCGAAAATTACACTCATACCTTAAAACTTTTATCTGTAATTCATAACAATATAATACAATTATTTTTCTTCATATAATTTAAGGGGTGTGGGGGGTGCGATCGCACCGTCTGCACCCTCTCTGCATCCGCCCCAACTATCTGTCCTTTTTTAGAATTTCAAGTCCGAGTTCAACCAGGACCATTTTACTGCAACATAAATAGAAGGATGGGGGTGAGGGAATGTTGTTTAATTTGGTAATTGAAAGCAATAATCCTGAATAGAACATGAACAATAATTGTGTTAATATGCCTATCTGAGAAACCTGTTTAATCCTCGTGTGGACGATCAATCCACCAATCACCCCGAAAGCTCCAACAATGATGCCCACAAATAACATTCCAATTGTCAGACTCGTGCTACTTGAACAGACTGAACAGACTGCAAGGGGAGAACATACAATTAGTAGGTCATTATACCCCTTCAATCATAATTATTTATTATGATGTAAAAATGTTAAATAAAGAATAATATGCAATAATGACATTAAACATGAGTAGAAAATCAAATAATAATAATAATAATAATAATAATAATAATAATAATAACAATAACAATAACAATAATAATAATAATAATAATAATAATAATAATATAATATTGATAATAGTGATAATAATGATGACAATACGGTATTAAAAGATAATAATGATGGTAATGATGATGATGATGATGATGATGATGATGATGATGATGATGATGATGATGATGATGATGATGATAATGAAAATAATAAATGATGGTAAGGATAATAACAATGATAATGATGGTGGTGGTGATGATGAATCTGGATTCAATGTCAGATTACGAAACGTGCAGGCTTGACACCTTGACCGCTGATGAATTGTGTCCAAAATTTACTACAAACTCGTAAAATGTAATAATGAGCCATTATCATTATTATATAACTTTCGGTACAAATTTAAACCTCTTTGCTTTTCTTCCTTCTTCCTTTTTGGTAAACTCTAATAAACAATAACATAATTGTAACATTACTTACTTATAGCTTTATTTAAATATTATTATATTATAGGCCTATATCAAATAAATATCTAAAAATTTCTTTAAAAAAATGAAAAAAAGAGTGTAAGTCACAGAGTTTTTAGAGTTTTACAGAGTTTTGAATAACTTTAATATTTTCCAATCTTCTAATCAATTTTATATAGCCGGAGTTAGTTCACACCTAGGCAAACCTTGCTAAAAAGGTACACTTTTTCCATATAAAGGCTTCTTCAATGAATGGAATGTTCGAAGCACGAACTCTTGTAGACCAAATTTTTAATCGTGAGGGAAATCCACTCATGATGGATGTGATGTCGAATGAATGGAACATGTAGGCTGCCGGCACCTTGATCTCGGATGATTAGTGGCTACAATTTTTCACAAAAACGGGATACATTGATGACAAAATTATTATTATTGTTTGTTTTCGGTATCATATTTCAGCCTCTCAGAGTTTCTTTCCTACTCTTCTTTCTTTCTTATATGCTTCTTCCATATTTATATTAAATTTAATTTAACTAAATAACATACTTAAGCATAATATATATATATATATATCTATATATAATATATATATAATTTCTCATTTCGATATATAATTACTAACTGGACTAGGACTCTTAGATCTAGGCATGTATACATTGTTTCTGTATTTAATATATTTCATTTTGTCAATCGAAGATATGTCCTGGTCTCCGACCCTTTTATGTTCACTTGGATAGGCTTATCTCCATAAGACTTCTACGAATGGATACCTTGTTTGAAGCAAGAAACTAAGTTTTCTTTATCCAGTACCGCTCGTCTATTTTATTCGTGTGGGAAACTTTTAACATATATTACTTCTTCTAAAAGCGAAAAAAAAAACCAATATCCTTGCAAATCAGAAATTGTCCCTCTCCACCGCCAACTCCAGCATGTCTACTACATTCATGTAGCAGTTGCAATTACTGTTTCGATGCCATACCAACCACAATAATACAATAAATAAATAATAATGAAATATTATGTACTGTATATTATTATTATATATTATATACAATATATAAGTAGCTGCACTGCATTTTAATAAAATAATAATTATATTTTATATTTTGCCATTTTTTCAATGCTTATGGTTATAGAACCATCCTATGTTTTCTTACCCCTCTTCTGTATATAGGCCTACTATTTTTTCTTAGTTCAATTTTAAAAATTAAGGAAACAATTGTTATTAGTTAGCCCTATTAGTTATTAATCGAGTCGTATCGTTGTAAGCCTAGATTCCTGGTTCTTGATAGGCGGCCCGCGGGCCAAAAGTAGCCCGCGGAGCCGTTATATCTGGCCCGTGTGAAAAAATCAGCAAACGCCAAAGATTGGTATTGTAAGTTCTAGCTATACTTGGAAAAGCCTGAGAAGAATTGTTAATTGAGTAGACTCAAAATCAAGGTGGTTTTAGGTTTTAATTTACTAAAAATAACACTATGGCACAGCCACCTTCTAATCTTCCCCTCAGCTTTTTTTAATCTGGGGAATTTTTTTTTTCTCTCGGCCGGCTATTTTCTCCCGGCTATTTTCGTCCTGTATTTTTCCGATGTATGATTTTTTTCATATAAGTTCATGTATAAGGTAGAACAAATTATTTGTTTTTGTATTTGCTTTTTTTCACTATATATTGTCTTGTTACACCACACAGGTGTGCCGATGATTTAAAAAAACAAAAAGCGTAACCAATCAATTGATTGATTGACTCTTGATGCATTCGAAATTCTGATGAAGTGTAAAGACACATTTTAGAAACGTCTTTTTAAAAAGTTTGCATCCGCGTTTACTTAAGAGATAGACGAAAGTTGAAAATCATTTTTAAACATACAGTACTTACTCTTTGGCCTATAAGTATCACACCTATTTTCTAGTCGTTCATTATGTATACATGTGGTTGCATCAGCTAATACTTCGGCAAGGTGCGCGAATATTATCAAAGTTTCAGGGGCAGTAGACACAAAAATCGGCATGGAAAAACCAAAAGTTTGTTACCCTTTTATTCCTGTTAAGCAGCGACAAAAAACAAGACGGATGATTTCATTAATTTGAACTCTCAGTGCCCTTTGGTGATTATCTTCTACGATTATTACGCCTACTTTACACCTAAATTTCTTTACTGTTTCTGGTAGCATAACCATGGAGGAATAAGTTTAGTACTTATTCATCCATAGTTTCACTATTCTGATTGACTGCGTATGATTTGATGTATTTTTTTTGTATTTTATTTACTTTCGCTGCTTACATGTGTATATATGTATATTTACAGTTTGCGCGTATGTATGTTTATGGGTATGTTATTTTATTATTTTTATTATTATTATTCGGTATTTTTTAAATTCTGATGTTAATGTTTTGTTTTTTTCTTTTCTTTTTTTGGGATTGGAAAGGGAAGGGAGGGGTAACTTCGATTTCGGGATTGGAAAAGGGAAGGGAGGGGTAATTAAGACTTTGATTTTTACTTTTTGTTAAGCTCATTTGCTTTTACTTTTGATTTGTCATGTTTTGATTTTGTTTGTTTTCTTATATTTTTCTTGGACGCACCGTTTTCTACGTGTGCCACTGTTGTAAAAGTGTAGCTTCCAAATAAAGAATATATTATAATGCAATTTCAATTCTCTTTCTTTATCTTGCAAAGAAGACAACTGCGCAGTGTAAACAGATTATTGATATGTATGGTTTCAGAATTTAGATGTTTGCATACCCTAATATATTTTATAAGTCAATCGTGACGTCATCACTGCAACTCCCAATGTTATTTGCCTGTCCACTATTTTTTTAATTAGTGGACGCTTGGCTTGATTGTTTAGGTTCGTGTGCAAAAAAAACACACAAAAAAAACACCTAATTGTTTCGTCACCGCGAAGATATTGTGCACCGTGATGAAAATTTAATTGTAATTGAAAATTGCTTTCGTAAAACAAGGTTAATTAGAACCCGAAGAAAGTTACTTCAAATTCAATATTAATTATGAACAGTTAAGGAAATCTTTTAGTCAATGAACCCTAATAAACTAAACCAACTGAACGTTTAATAGGAATATTCTAGACCTATTATTAAAGACTCAAGGCACGAAGTTAGCTGGAGGCCTGCAAGCACGTTGTCGTATCTTAGCGTAGTTATGAAATCATCGCACAAATTTTACCTGCCTGCACCGACCAATCGGTGACTGTATTCTCTCTCGAATCTTTAAGAAATGTTTATTTCTTTGACGAATGTATCAAAAAGTATTACAAATAAGGGATTCTAACACAATACAATTACAATAGTTATTCATCGTATCGGTACTGTAGCACAATAAAAAGTGTAATTTGAAATTACCAAAACAATTATAACGAGTTGTATTATGACTCAGATATTATCTGTGGCCCGTGAGCTCAACTCAAAAAATATTTGGCCCTTTAAACAAATTAATTAAGAACTAGGGGCCTAAATTGTAGGTGCAAATTAGTGATGGGTTTTGTGTCTCAATACATGGGTTAAAGGGTGAAGGCAGGCAGGTTTAAAACAATCATGTTTTTTCGGGGGAGGAGGGTGTGTTTAAATTTGATCTGCTTTGATTAACTTGGTTTTGTTTTTCTTTGGATGCATCGTGTCGGACGAGTACCACTGTTGTAAAAGTGTCGTTTCGAAATAAAGAATAATAGGATAAGAACTTTCTGACAAGATTCATGTAACGTAATTAATAGAGGTATAATTTTAGTTGTATATGTGCTGATGATGCGGTGTGCTTGTTCATGGCTAGGTAAATCAAAGATCATCCCATTGTTTCTGACACGGTTGGGAATTTGAACAGTCAGTAGTTTAAGATATAGTGGCAAAATAGTTAAATAACATCATATGATAGCCTTTTGGTTTCTCTATAAATGTGAAAACATAATCAAAACAAATATCGCGACTACAGTAACCGTTTCGTAATGTGGACATCAAAACTGGTACTGGTATTGATACAAATGGTCATCTTTTTCAGGACGTTAGGCAGACATCATACATTGACTTGAGGTTGACATTAATAGTGGGACACTGTTTTTAAAACTATAAAAATATGGAGCGAACCAACAGCAACATTGTCATTTTTATAGAGTAAAACAGTATAATGTAGTGATTATTATGCACATGCACAGATACATAAGTCCTTTCACATGGATTGGATGCACAACAGCAACACATACTCAATATTGATGTTATTTAAACATGATTTATTATACAAATAACGCCAAAATTTCGCATTTTCAATAATTTAGTCCTTTACTATTCTAATAATAATTTACTAATTATTCCCGAATGCTAGGTCTGTTACTAACATCTAACGCATTAATCGACGGGTGCAATGTATTTTAGCATTACAATTTCTTTACGCCGTCGTCTTCATCTTTTTTTTTTTTTGCAATATTACAAAAAAACCCAACAGCTGACTAGTAGCTATTGCTATTGTGTACTGACTTTCACAACGATTTGTATTTTTATCAAATTGTCTACAACCACCACAGTAGCATCCACAAACGCCATTCCCATCACTGTAGTACGTGTCCCCTTTATCCAAGTCACAGCCATCCTTATAGATGCAGTCTATAAACACAAATAAAACTGATGACGTCAGGGGGTTGGGGTCTGACCGGTGAGTATGCACCCTCCCTTCCCTCTAAATTACCGACGTTCCACATTTTCCAGAGTAGAAAATTCAAAAATTATACCCCACCCTCAATTTTTCAAAATTATTTTAAAAAAGAAAAGAAATTTATATTGAAATTTAAGTCTGAGAGTGCCATCTCCGGCCATCTAGAAGTGCCATAATCTTAAATTTATTTCCCTCAGCCCCCGCCATGGTGGGTGGGGCTAAGCCTGATATGGACTCTCAATCTGTAAATGTCCTTTCCTTGCCAAATTCATTGATCCGCCATTGACGGTGGGGATTCAAGAAACCCAATCGCCCCGTCCCCTCAATTTTTCAAAATTTAAAAAAGATGTGAAAAAAGAATATATATTCGAGTTGTATGATAGTGCAATTTCTGGCCATTTGAAGGTGCTATAATTTTCTTACCTCAGCCCCAATCATCATGGTGGAGCTGAGGTGGTATTGTTTCCATCTGTGAAAGTTCCTCCCTGGCCCCTCTTCAAATTCCTAGATCCGCCACTGAAAACTGTATATGAATCTTCAAATCTCAAGTTATCAAAAGTGCCTGAGCTCCGCCACCTCGATCCCAGCAGCAAGCCCCCCCCCCCCTTTCAGGCGCGTGTATAAGAGACAGCCCTCCCCACCCCAGGCTCTCTTCCCCTGAGCCATTTTATTCCACTCACTACAAATACCTTATACAAAACAACACGAATTGAAACAATGACTCTTTTGATTATTTTTTAACTGGTAATGCTGCAACTTTTTATAATATGATGTAACTGGTTGTACAGTATCGATTATATATAGTTTATTATGCAAATATTAAGTAACTTACTTGTGCAATTCAATCCATGGAAATGATCATTGCATCTACAATTGTAGCCTTCTTCAACAACTGAACACGTTCCACCATTCTCACAGGGCTCGTCAGCACAGGGACTAACTATAGAAAAAAAAACATACCACTCACTAGCAATCCACAAAATATATACGTAAAACATTATACAGAGGTCTAGTTGTTAATTTACGAACATTCATTTTCAAAGATAAACATTTCAAAGTTTACAAAAGACAGTTAATTTCGACCGACATGTGATGCTACTGAAGGTTTATCGTTGATGGGTTAGTGTCTATCTTCAATCCTAAGAGCATAAGTAGATAGCAGTCGTTCTCTACTTAAGCTCAAGCTTACATATTACAGTTATTTTAATCGGACAGGCGCAGAATCATTCATGACAATAACTTACAAGAAATGTCAAACAACTACCATTCAAGTCATAACATTGATATTAATTAATCAATCATAATTAGCAAGGGCATCGATCCGCAATTCAATGTTGGTGGGTGGGGGGTAAGAATTGCAAAATATGGAAGTCTTGGGCAGTAGGTCATGGCTGGGGCTGCCTAGGATCAACGGTGGGGGTACATGGGATGAAGGTCCAGGGGAGAAGCCGCGGACGCTCTGGCGTCTATAGTCTCTTATGAGTAATATCTAATTGATTTTTAAGGAATGCAATTAACAGTTATTTCCACACTACATTTTCAAAATACAGTGGCGAATCTAGGAATTCGAAATAGAGGGCGGGGCCGCAGGGAAGGACTTTTAAAGATGCACTCTAGACCATCATGGATGGGCTGAGGTAAAATTAAAATATATATATATGATTATGGCACCTCTGTTGAACGGAAGGGGCATTCTTAGGCTTATATTTAAATATAATTTTCTTTTTTCTCTCTAAAATTTTCAAAACAATTAGGAAGGGTGGGCCAGTTGGGCCCCTTGAATAATTATGCCACTGCAACTGCATAAAAAGTTGTTTCAATTTATCTTGGTAATCATAATCATGCCCGCTTATATATTTCGTGCAAACTGACATTCATAAAAATAATGATTTATTATCTACCAGTACTGATTAGTTGTGACGTATTCGAAACATCAAAAACTAATGAGTCTAGGCCTATTTGCATTTGCATATGTACAGCACTTCTAAAATCAATCAAGTGTTTTTTTTTTCTTTTCTCCTCTTCTTTAATTTCACTCTTACTATGGTGAGTGGAAATATGCTACCGCCTAATTTACGATCAAAGAGGACTAGGGAGATACGAAGCACTCACAAAATTAGTTAGCATTTTTATTTCACAAACATAAAGGTGATTTAATTTATCATTACCATGACATAACATCACTTGTTGTATCACTCTTAAATAAGTCAAAATAGATATCGGCTGCATAATTATTGTTTAATAACGGCTATATAAAATTCAATTGACCAACTATGATTTTTTTAAAATTAGGACAAACTTGAATCTTTGTATGCAGATAATATTAAAAACTAGTTATAGGCCTATTCGGGTCTTGATAACATACAAAAGCAATGAATCTTTTATAGTAGAAATTGCCCACTTTTGAGTTTGTAAAATGTTGGCCTAAGAGGTTATTACACACTTTAATTTTAACAACGTACAATACATTGTTTTCACAATAGCCTCTTATAACCGTTGCAAACATAAAATCGATGGAGCGGTTACTGAGATGGTTATTAAATGTACAAACAATTGCGTTTTTGCGTACCGCACTTTGAACAGAGCACAAGTTAACAGACAAAATTCATGACAGCCATTTGTAATTGTTATTGTTCTTTCCAGTCACTTTGAAAAGTGGGTCTTATCTATAGGAGATTGGAGAAAAGTTGGTGGGGGCAATTGATATGATGTTCCCCTACTTTGAAAAGTTGGGGGACGTGTCCCTGTCCCTCACCGATCGACGCCCATGGTCAGTAATCATATGGCATCTATCATTTGGTTCCCTCGAAATAGTATTTTAAGAGAAGCGAATAATATTTAGTTCACTCGAAATTTCGTTCCCTCGGAAACAATATTTTGTTCCCTCGAAATAACGTTTTGTTCCCTCTAAGTATTATTTAGTCCCCTCAAAATATTGCGTTCCCTCGATATAATGTTTTGTTCCCTCGAAATGTAATTAATCATGTAT